CGGTCGAGTCCAGGGGCGACGTGATGAACGAGCCGTCGCGGACGAGGCGGATGGGCTCGCCTGAGCCAGTGGATGGGTCAAGGCCGAGCGCGTTGTTCATGAGGTTGTCCTGCGCGGTGAGGATGTTGCCAATCGAGAGGTTGTTGAGGCAGGCAGTGTCAGATGCCGAGCATGACAATTGGCTGACGAAAAAGTCCTGCAGGGTCTTCTGAGTGCCAGCGGAGAGGAAACCGTAGTCCTGACAGCCAAAGTCAGCACAATGAACAATGAAGCTGAGGCTGCAGTCGACTCACCATGGGGTCCGATTGGAGGATGGCAGACTGGAAGAGCGACTGTGCGGACGGAGTGGCCAGGAGGCCACGGATCATGTTGGCACCTGAGCTTTGTCCGGCGAGAGTGATTTTGGACGGGCTGCCCCCGAAGCTTGGGAGAACCTTCTGGAGGAATTGCATGGCAGTGACGATATCTTTCCCCGCCAGGTTCATCTGCCCGTTGGGAGACACCAGGCCGAGCTGTGAACAATCATTAATGGCCGTGAGACAAAATGCAGGGACAACATAAGGCTTACAGCGCCCAGGCGGTACTGGACCACGGCGACGATGGAGTTAGTCGCTGCAGCCAGATTTGAACCATCCAAGCCAGGGTTGGTGGCCGAGCCCTGGATGAAAGAACCACCATGGATCCTGCGCAACAAAGCCGATCAGACGACCATAATTGTGCAAAGTGACAATTGACGCACCAGAGAAGAGTAGGAGCGTTGCTGGCTGGGTTGACGGAGCTCGGGACATAGAGGAGCATCGACAGGCAGTCTTCAGACATGGCGGAGGCATCTATGCCGTCCTGGGGACACGCCAGAGGGAGCTGAGATGCATTCGTGTTGCCAGCACTGATGCAGGCGTCAGTTGGCGTCAAAGCTAGACCTTTGTGGTAATTGACGTACGGAAATTGCCAGGAAGACACGACGGTAGACGGCTGCCAGCGGGCGGCCTGCCCGTACCGCACGGCAAAGCGCGCCGCGTTGTCCGCGTCCGCGATGCCCTGTGCGGTGCCCAGAGGGGTCTTCACGGTCGGATTGGACGAGCCCTGTCGGGGGCACAGAAGCTGCTGGACGATGGGGATCGGAAGACTGCAGAACAAGCCCTTTGCGGTGACGGGTACCGGCGGGAAGAATGGGTCCGTGTGCAGGCTGGTATTGACCGGTGATGCCACAACGGCAGACGCAAGCGAGAGCGCGGACAGGAGGGAACCGAAGAAGACCATGTTGAGGAATTAGAAGATTATACTGTGAGAGGTCGTCGCGTGAGGGTCTAGCAGTGTGGAGCAGTCGAGAACGGCTGCTTGCGACGTACTGGAAGAGGGGTCGAGCGACCCTTAAGTATCTCCACAGGAGAAGGGGCCGTGCCTGCAGGCCTGGGCTGAAAATAAGCTTGTCAGGGAAGAAGATGGTGGTTCAGGTACACGATACGAGGGAAGAGACGGGAGTGGTGTGACCTGAGCCGCAGAATGAGGTCCCGACGCACAAAATGAGAACAAGGCGGACGCGGCACGGACGGAGGCGACGAGATTCGCTGTCCACACCCTCGCGGGCGGGGAATCCTTGGGGCGGCCATCAGTCTCCCACAAGGCTGCCCAACTACCACGCCTGCCTTTTATGGCCATGCCATTGTTCTGCAAGCAGCAGCGCAGCGACAAGCGCGCGGTCGCCAGGTGCTCCGTCCAGTGTTCGATCGTTCCGAGGACATTCCACTCGAGCGCGCGCGAGCGCAGGACCCCGACTACATAACCAGCCTCGTCCCGCCACACAGCGTCTTGGCAGATCCCCATCGTGGCGTCGCCCGCGCACGGGTTTCATGCATCTCCAAAGCTTACGTGCCATACTCAACAGTAGTGCGCACTCCCCCGTTGTTACCCTGCAGCGAAGAATCAGCGCAATACCAGGAGTGATTTTCCCAAGCATACATACCATGCCATGGTACGATCTCGTCTGTACGCCCTGTTCATTGTTAGCAACAGCTCTTTGGTCGCCTCCGTGAATTTTACAGCGTCAGTCTCTCCTATCCAGATTTTCTTATGACTTTGCACGCTCTTCGGCTGTGACTGTACAAGACCATGTGCGACTCAATCACCCAGTGTCTGCGAGGGTTTTCTGGGGTCCTGCCTAGCAGTGCCAGTTGCCGCGGCTTGGCCTGTTCGTGCCTGGCGGCATATCTTCTTTCAAAATGGAAACAAAATGTCTGCATGTCATCGATCACTTCTGCCGAGTCCCTGGTGAGCACGTCGATCAGAACACGCACTCATGAGTAAGCTGCACTACCGTCATCAGTTCTACTCGCCCTACAGTCCGTATCATGAAGCGTGCCTCAGCTGCCACGAATTCATATTCGCCGAGACTTCAGGCATGCGGATGTTCCAGCCTACGGCATGCTCAAAGGTCACTGCTTGATTCTGCTCACCGTTTGAAGGTTCACGCGCAATCGAAGCAAGCCGTCCAGGGAATATAACAGTGCGGCACGGACGGCAGAGGCCTCATACGCCCGCAGCCCTGCACGAGCATCTATGAATCAGCGAATCTAGGCACCGAGGTCGACTGAGCACTCACCACTTGGGAGCGCGGGACACTGCTACTCGTCACGTCCACAAGGCGAGCAAAAGACAAGAGATGCGTGTTGAGCAGATAACACGCGCCATTTGCGACAATGTTGAGAAAGTCCTCTCGCGGTTGTTCGTGATAATCGTCGACTGCACAAACGAGAGTCCGTGGCTGTGTAACTGGCTTTGGGGTAGTCCACGGGCTGGCCTGGCAGGCCAGCATGCGCAGACCAGGAATCCACACTAGCGGGCTCACCACTAGCTGGCTTCTATGTCCCTAACACTTTGTGGACGCGCCCGACCGCCAGCTTGAGGATGGAAAGGTGTTGTTGAGTGACAAACAGGAGCTTGGAGGCACGTCCACTCGTCGTATTCTGTACATACACTTTTCTGAGACTGAAGCTCGCAGAATTTAGCCCGTATTTGTTGTACGCCGAGGTTCGAGGTCCCAGTGGCGAACAGGTAAAGCACGCTACCTTCAACTGGTGGCAGGCGGACACCCGGCGGGTGACTACAGTCACTCGATGTACAGTTTGCGCAGGAAGTTCAAGACAGACGAGGAGGGCAACCTCGACGTTCTCACGATGATGCCTGGGAAGTGCAGCCCGGAAGAAAGCGTCCGCGCTGGCCACTTCCATGCCATTATCTCTGAACACGGCAAGGAATGGCAGTCGCTGACTACGCGGATGTACGTCTGCCGTGGCAACGACGCCGAGGAGATGAGATGATGCCTGACTTGTAAGTCCCTTCTTGTCTCGCCTGAGCGCGATAACTGAGGCCCACCACGCCCGGAGAACAGGCTCGAGTCTTTCTCTGCGGGCGACGGGAAATACATGGACCTGCCGAGCCTCCGTCTCGACGACGACGAGACCCGAGAGAGGCTGAATTGGTGGACGGCGCAGCCCGCTCTCCTGGGCGTGGACGCGAAGGTGGTCGCGTGTTCGCAGACGGAGCTCCGGCTGAATGCCCGAGGCCGCCTGCTGATATGCGCTGACATGCCGTGCCGCACCCATGCCGCTGCAGTTACCAAACCGGCGGCCCAGAGATAGCAACTTGTCTGGTGTCGCAGTGAAGGTGATGGCTTCATGTTGAACTTGAGGGAGACCTACAAGGGTCGCCGCTGCACTGCTGAGCCCTTGAGGGACGTTGGGTCAACCAGGCACAACAGCTTGGTGAATACAGTGGAATTGTCGTCGCGGTCGCCCACCCACCTTGCACAAGATTAAAGTTCATGGGCGCGCTCCTACGATGTTCGGACTTTGCTCACCAGGCTGCGCAATGAATGTCACTTTCACTTTGATTTGAAGTACACGTGGATCAGCTGAATTCAAGATAGGGATCACCTATAACGTTATCCGAACGTCAGGAGATTGCAGAGCAGATGGTGGCTAGCATGACTCGCCCTTGGTGGCTTTGACGAACAGCATCTCGACTGCCACGGGGCGCCAGGTTGAGACGGAGACATGACAGATGTACGTGCGAGCGTTATCTGCTCCCGTCAGAAAATCGCAAGCAGCTAGGATGCATCGCGGGCATCCAGCGACGCCGTGACCGTAAGTCCAGGGATTCCGTGACCTAGTACGGTCACGGAAACTCGAAGCCGTGTCTTAGATGGTCACCGGCGCACGCTTTTGATGGCTAGCTACTCGGTAAGCCCGCTTCGGAATGCAGCTTCAAAATGGCCAAGGTCACGATCCGAGAACCCGGGGTTGCATCTCGGAGAGACATCATCCTGGTGTTCGAATGTCGAAGATATGCTTTCAAGCTGTAAGGCACAGCATCGTCTCAAGCCCACCATTTTCCATGCGGTGCACTTGTTAACATTTGAACGTCGCGGTGCCTTGCCCAGTCCGAAGACGACCGAGTCGCGGCGCCGATACGCGGGTCCAGGACACTCCAGAGCCGGATGGGGAGTGTATTGCCTCGCATGGCCACCTTGAAGGTTATCTCACCACCACTAAGCCCCCGGTGGCCGGAAGGCAAGCCAGGACAGAGTTCGCCGCCGCTTCAGTTCTGTAATCTCGTATCGCGGAACCGCTGCTGCACAGCCTGTACCTCTCCTCACCTTCTTTGAATTAACAGCGTGGTAACCCTAACGTCTAGAGGTTTCTTTACTTTCGCGGTTGAGCGATAGTATGGGTATCCCGGAGTTTGCCGCTTCTGAACACTCATACCCAGAAATGGTAATCGTAGGTCTTGGCTCACCCCACCATGTTGCACCTAACATCGCTGTCCATGCTTGAGTCTACGAGGTGAGAATGTTCAGTAACGGGGTATAAAAATCCATGTTAAGCTACCTTCTATTGCCCTCGCACCAGAAAATCTACTCATGACACGAAGAATATTTGAGACGCCCACGCTGATTGGGCCAACTATTCGTTTGCTGTGGCGGCAGGTGTTAGACAGTCACCACATGGATCTGTTCAGCGTTCCACCCTACTACAAGCATGCCAAACGACGCTCCGCTGCCACCTTCTCCTCATTGACGATTTAGTGACGCATGCAGTGCACATGGGAAAATTGCACATCACTCGTGTGAAAACCATTCTCAGGTGAATTTTTTTTCCATAATTCCCTGTAAAGGCATTAACGCGTATGTAGGTATACGCGGAAACCAGTACCCGCTGTCACCCTGCAACGATGCTGAGTCTTCCGAGTCTTCTCACTGATACCGGCGAACTACGCCGTTATAGGAAGCATCTCCAACACGAATGGGAAGCATTCCTCCGGTACCGGTGCTGTATTCCCCTCGACGGCGACACGGCGCTGATGCGTTACCAGTACCTGTGTACGCGTTTACAAAAATGATCCCGCAGTGCGTAGTTTTCCGCTCCACCATGCTACCGTGGCATCAGTTTCGGCCCAGTCGTCTGGGACAGCGGGCACGACATTTCAAACAGCGCTCCTGCGCCCTCGGCAAGATTCCTTTTCTGCCCAAACTCTCCCCTGCAATTTGACGAAAGGTTGGCTATGGGGCCTCGGGGCGGCAGCTTCACCCAGTACCGAGGTTTGCCACCCGTGCACCATGGGATTGGAGACAATTCCAGATTGGCCTGAGAACGGTCTGCCGTTCTACGCGCATGCCCCAAGCGATTGCTCGCGCGGTTGTACCTGTCATCGTGCGACTTCATCTCTTCGGGCACACCGACCTTAACCGCCGCAGTGCGAGTATAAGTACCTCGCTTACACCACTCCAGAGACCCGGCTCTACACTCGCTTTCTCTTCCGCCTAAGGCTTCCTATCCCACTCTCCTCCACACAGACAACTGAGCACCATGTCTGCCCCGCCGAGAGACGATGCGCCTGCATACTCCGAAGCAGAGAAGGGAATACTGGAGACGGAGATGCCCCGCCGCCTTGACATCGCGTACCCCAAGGATGAGAAGAAGGACGCGTACCCAGACGAGAAGAGGGAGATGACTCAAGTCTCCACTCTCCCCGTCCTCGAGCTCAAGAAAGACACCCCGGCACCGGCGAACCGCCCCAAGCCCGCGGCTAAGCCAAAGAAGAAGGTCCCCAAGTGGATCTTGTGGCAGCTTTGGTTTAACACCTACAGGTACCTGTCGATCCTATGCTCGACTTGAGTGCGTCATTGCTAACTTCGCGGACAGGAAGCTGTTCACCATCACATTTTCTCTGAACATGATCGGACTTGGCCTGGCAGCATCTGGACACTGGCCGTACGCCATCAGATACAACGGTGCCATGGCCGTCGCAAACTTCAATTTCGCCATCTTGATGAGAAATGAGATTTTCGGTCGTCTGTTGTACCTATTTGTCAACACGCTGTTCGCAAAGGTAATGATGATCATGCTCTTTCACTAATTTCTCACGTTTCTGACGAGGCTTATCAGTGGACTCCCCTCAAGTTCCGTCTCGGCTGCACGTCAGTTCTCCAAGTAAGTCCGCGACACGTTGCGTCGAGAATAACGCTGACCATCCGGGAAGCACCTTGGAGGCATTCATTCCGGCTGCGCTACTTCGGGTGTTGCGTGGCTCGTCTTGAAGGTCGTCATGGTGTTCAAGGCGCGCAGCACCGAGCATATGTCCGTAGTCGTCCTCGGTCTCATTACGAACGTTGCGGTCTTCCTCACTGCATGCGCCGCGATCCCCTGGGTTCGCAACACTCACCACAAGTAGGCACTTTTTACGATCGAGAGAAAGCCCCCACTGACAAGTGTATGCAGCGTCTTCGAGCGCCACCACCGCTTCATTGGCTGGACGGCGTTGTTCTTGACTTGTACGTCAGACCCTGAGAAATGGTACATATGGTGTCCTAACGCCAGTGACATCTAGGGGCTTTCACCATTGCCAATGATATTTGGGACACGACCACGCAGACCTGGAACCTTAACGGCCGCCACCTCGTGAAGCAGCAAGACTTCTGGTATGTTATGGGCATGACCACTTTGTAAGCCACCACGATCTTCTCCTTGCTCCAGCTTCTCTGAACTTTTCCCCTTGATAGCATCACACTCCCATGGATCTGCACCCGTGAGGTGCCGGTCGATATCGAGCTGGTAGGCACATGTTTTACTCGTGGAGTTGCGGCTTACTTAGCGGTTTGATCTCTTAGCCGTCCCCCAAAGTCGCCATCGTACGCTTCCGCCGTGGGATGCAGCAGGGTCTGCTCGGTCGTATCAGCCGCTCTGCCGTCAAGGAGTACCACGCGTTTGGCATTATCTCGTACGTACCGCCAGACGTCAAGGAAAATTTATCCGCTGACGGACGGCTGATCGCAGGGAGGGCACGCACGCCAAGTACCACTACATGATCTGCGGTGTCCAGGGCGACTTTACCCGCAGCCTCGTCAACGATCCTCCGAAGGCCTTGTGGACCCGCGAACTGAAGGTATGCATTTGCCCAACGTGCCTGCGGCCTGTGCACTGACGGCACCTGCACAGTTCGCTGGTGTATCGAACACGTCAACCCTCTACAAGCGCGGCATACGTATCTGCACCGGCACAGGTATTGGAGCGGCCCTGTCGACGTGTATTCAATCGCCATACTGGTGAGTAACACGCACACCGAGCGTTCTTAGTCAGCGCTGATAGGTATTCGCTTTAGGTATCTCATTTGGATCGGTAAGTTTGTCCGCCGCGTTGCTTGGCAGGTCACTGATCTGCCGTGTAGGCTCTGACCAAGAGAAGACATTCGGACCCACGATCAGTGGACTAATTCACCGGCATGTTGAACCGGAGCGTCTGCTGCTCTGGGACAGTAAGCTGCGCGGCGGTCGTCCGGACACGATGAAGATTCTCAAAGAGGTCTACCACTCATGGCAAGCAGAAGGTGCGAACGAAATACAGCGAGCTTTTCGGCTGTCGTGCTGACAATTTTTCCTAGTCGTTTTCATTACTTCCAACTACATCGGCAACTCCGAGATGATGCAGGTACGTTCTTACCGACATGTCCTTCTCCCGAGCCCACACTCACTGCGGTAATTATTTCAGGGCTGCAAGGAGGCTGGAATCCCCTGTTTCGGCACGCTGTGGGACTTCTAGGCGGAGCGAAATTATCCGTCCGTATTCCTCCCATGCACAACTCGCCCGGCGCACATGTACCATAATTCCCGCAGCAGCTAATAGTCATTTATCTTCGGGGGTTCTCCTTCGCACACTCTGTATCCTATAGATTAGATGCCACCAATGCATATTTATTCTCCACGATCGCGAGGAAGTTCCGGCTAGAGAGCGTTCGAAGGCCGCGCCGCCGTGAGTGGATCTGCCTCGAAGCGGCCCGGAAGGCTCAATAGGCTCCTCGGGCACGCGTGAGAGAACTTGGAAGCGCAGTCGGTCCCGAGCGGGAGCTGATGACGGCGTTCGCACCGCTTCGTCAGTGATCTCCGGAGGGAATGGTGTGGTTCGGGCGGGACCCTGTGGGAGCGCAGACGTGGGTACAGTCCGGGGAGCAAGAACACTTCTCAAGAATTTTGGCCGGTCGTTGCCATGTACAGCAAAGCTCTCTCGTCGTCACCGCGCCAAGACTGCATCTTCGAGACCCTGCCTCGTTTAGTGAGTGCAGGTCCCACGTACGGCGCTGCGTAGAAAAGAGGGAGCTCGGCGAACGGGCTTGGAGCATCACGCCGCCTCCAGAGGAAAATGAGGAGTTGGGATTCGGGATACATAGCTAGGAAGACAGCACATACGTACATAAATGTGATGATACAAATGTGACACCTGCGAAGCACACCAGATGAAAGCGGAATAAAACAATATTATAGAGAAGTGTAGGCCGGTAAGACATGTCCCTCGAGAACCTTTCCATTTCGACCCATCCATGACCACCGCCGGTGGAGGTTAATCGATGTATTGGGTTTTAGCGGCATCCCCTGACGGGCAAGCTCGGTGATGATCCTCGCCACATTCCGTGTGTCCTGAAAGCAAATTCGTAAGCAAAAACAGTTGCGCCGGAGGTTACGGTAAGCGTACATCTTGTCCGCAGTGCTGTCTGCCCTGAAACGGGCCGAGGCCAAGAAGATGGAGCTGCCGCACCATTGGCAGATACGCACAGTTTGGTGTTGGTCCCTGAGCAAGCCTCAGCGGTGCATGAAAATATAGTCACCGAGACGCGCTTACCTGCTGCCTAGGCTTGTTCGGATCGTTCCTCTGCTGCCATTGTGCGACGATGCGTCGCACATCGATAAAGTCACGAGCCAGCCAGGTAGGGACGGCCATCTGCCCAGGGTTCAACTGAATAAGTTGCTCGGAGAGTGTAGACGGGATGTCACGCGACGGACCCTGGAGATGAAGCATTGCTTGACCACAAAGTCACGTAAGTCCCAGGGACCGTCCGAGCACCAGCAGAACCGTACAAGCGGTTCGCCGGAATATGCGTCGATCAGTCCGTTCCGGACCATGAATTCGCGGAATGCGCTGTGCACCATGGTGCTGAACGGTGGCGCCGCGTTTACGTTCTCCTGCGTAGAGGTGAGGCTCGTTAGTTGCTAGGTAACAGAACCTGAGCGCATATACGGACTTGAGTTATGCCAGTGAGTTGTGTGCAGAATGACGACAGTTGTGGTCGCCACATGGGCCGAACAAAGCTCCTGAACTCGTCGACGACCTCCAACCGGCTCGCCTGGCCGTTCTCGCTTTTGTATTTCCACCGTAGCAGACACACCGGCCATTCCTGAAGTGTACAACGCACGTAAGTATAAGATTTCAATAACGATGGAGACAGAAGACACTTGCAATGATTTCGTTTGCGTAGTTGAAGTCTGTGCCCGGCATGCAAGTCGCTTCAACGTCCACCACTAGGAATGCATCATAGGCTTGTCTAGCAGCAGTGGGGCTAACATCCTCCACGGCGGTGTCCATACGACAGCCTATCCTCTCTTCTTGTACCAAGGAAGACGATGTGGTTGAAGCAACTTTTGTCGCCTCGTTTCGCTCAGACGCTTTCACAAATTTTGGCGCCGTAGGGTTTAGCCTTGATACTGGCCTCGGGGCGGGTTTTCTAGAGGAGACAGTCATGCAGATTGCGAAGGTGAGGATTGCAAATAAGAGGAGAGAGAGACCGTCCGGACAGAGCATGGTGGACAGGCTATAAAGCTTGGACAGTGGCTCAAGCGGTGGTCGAAACGTGAAAGCGGGATGTATAGCGCAAGGACTGTCAAGACTCTCGCCTCAAGGCGACATCAAGGAGGCGGTTCTTGCGATTTCTGGCCAGATTGAACCCTGTAGGCCACGTGAGGCGGAGACACGGCGATTGAGCCTGGGGATTTGATAAGGAAGCTGGGCCATGGAGCAGAAGCAGTCCAACTGAACGAGGGGCCCGTCGAGGGCGAACGTAGACGGCGGGGTCGTCGAGAGCACGTAGACGTTGGTCTCAAAGGCTGTTCCTGGGCTGTGTGTGGAATGTGGAACATGGAGGGATGCGTTCCTCTGTGCTGGTTCGTGGGAATTCAGCGCTCAGCCTCGGTCTCGGAATGAATGTGAGCGCGAATTTATTGCGTTTTCCGACCACCACGGCTCCTTTGCTTTCTCCCTCTCACACATCCCCCACGGCCCTCTTGCGCCATGGAAAAGACAGGCGGCGACGACCTCGACGATGATTTCGTCCCTGACGACCTTGTGGCCCTTTCGGAACCCGAAGGCGAGGGAGCGGCGCACTCCGCAGATGGCGAAGACGTCGGTGCTCTCTTGAGTGCTGACGAAGAAAAAGCAGCCCCATCGACCAGCCAGACTACTCTCGATAAAAAGAGGAAACGTAGAGCAAAGGAAAAGGAACGCAAAGCAAAGGTACGGCGCGTAGTAGCCTCTGCTGCGCATCCCACCTAACCATCTGGTTTGTAGAAAAAGAAACTGAAAAAGAAACTCGACGAGGAGGATAACGACGTTCCACCACCCTCTGTAGCCTCCCAACCCCCAGCGATGCTTTCAGACTATCTCTCGTCTATGCAGGCAAAAGTCTTCTCAAAAATGTCCGTTATCGAGCTCGCAGATATCCAAATTCCTAGTGTGTGATTCGAGTGTGCTGAGGTCATAGAGAATGTCTGATTGATAGCATAGACAGAGACTTCAATAGCGGATACGACCCTATGGTCGGGATCGAGGAACTTGGACCAGCTGACGGACTTCATAACCAAAAGCAAGTCCAATCTTGTGCATGTGCGCTGCTTCGTTCTACTGACCCTTCACACAGTGCTTCCGACATTGCGTACCCGGTTGGCACAAAGGCCTAAGAACAACGGGGCACCTACCCTCATTTTCATTGCTGGAGCTGCCCTTCGCGTGGCGGATGTGACGCGCATACTGAAGGACAAGAAGCTGCGCGGGGAGAAGGGTGGTGATGTTGCGAAGCTCTTCGCGAAACATATCAAGCTCGAGGAGCATATCACATACCTAAAGAGGACGAAGCTCAGTGCTGCTGCAGGCACGCCCGGTCGACTGGGGAAGCTGCTTGAATCAGGTAAGCGCGACTTGAGTACATACAGGCAGCCTCTAATGACTATCCACAGGCGCACTGCAAACCTCCGCGCTGACACATATTATTCTCGATGTATCGCACCAGGATGCCAAGAACCGAAATGTTCTGGATATACCAGAGACACGAGACGAGGTCTTTAGGGGTGTCATCGGGCCGCCGAAGGTATTGCAAGGAATCAAGCAAGGAAACATCCAGCTGGTGTTGCTCTGAACGGTGCAGATGGTGTTGACGGCGATATTATATTCCTTTTCGAAGAGCCCCAAGACTAGCCTACGCGCCGTGTTAAGCGAACGGGAGGGAACACGTTCAGAAACCTTTGGGGTTTGTCCGAAGTGTCAACTGTCGGAGCAACCCGTAAGCGCAAGATACAACGCATTGAAGTCACTAACGTACTCGTGTCCACTTCGGAACCTTATGTATACCTTTGCGGTATCCGCGTTCGTACGGCGAGTATGTCGTGTACTTGTCCTTCGCCGGCATCTCGTGCTCCTTTGGGAGCTCTATGGCTCTCGTCTAGAGTGCAGTCTTTAATCATCTCCGGCATCAATTAAAGTACTTCTGAGCCATACCAATGCCTCGCATTGAACTCCACTGGTCCGGACAGCCTCTATGACAGCATCTACTTTCTTCAGCCTCGCACGAGCATTAGCTTTACGAGTCGGTGACAGCTTCCACGGAGTCTTCCTAAGGTGGATTAGGGTAAGCACCATGCTGAACAACAAATAACGTAGCACGAACCATACGAGACCACCCCAGGTCGCTGCCGTCGGTCGGAAAGCACCAAACATCCTCACTCGCCTGTGTGGTCGCGGTGAGAAGCGAGAAATGGTGATCCAAACTGGGACAGGATTTGTTGTTGACGTAAGCAACGGTCCGTTCACTAAGACGCTGGCCAGTGCTGGACGCTGTCTCTTACACTCGTCGCTCACTATCTTAATCGACGGTCTGCCAAAATGAGCGCAGCCGCCGTCGCTCTGCCTGTAGACATGTCCGTAGACGGCGATGGGCACGTCCAGGACATTCGCAAGGGACCCAAATTTGCTAGCGGGCTCATTCTGCCACCGCCGGAGATCAAGTGTGCGTCCCATCCTCGTATGCTGCGCGATGTCTCGTGCTGACAGGTGTCTCTCATGCATACAGCCGTAATCGACCGTACTGCCGCCTTCGTTGCTCGTTCTGCAAACCCCCCTCAGTTCGAGGATAAGATTCGCGAGAACCAGCGTCAGGACCCAAAGTTCTCGTTCCTCAACCCGGCGGACCCTTACCATGCATACTATAGGCATCGTATGGAAAAGGTCATGCGCGGCGAAGTAGAAGATGAAGTGGTCACTAGGGAGAAAACACCTACTGGAGAAATTGTACCGAAGGAAGAGGTTGATTTGGGACTGGAACCCCTGGTACCGGAGTTCATTCTTGATGTCGCGAGCATTAATCCATTGGACCTGTGAGTCGTAAGTCTTGCTTCATTGCCTGTTGACAACTGACACTTCGCTCACAGCGATATCATGAAGCTCACCGCGCTCTTCACCGCACGGCGCGGTAGGAATTTCCTCGCGACCCTCTCTCAGCGAGAAGGGCGCAATTACCAGTTTGACTTCCTTCGGCCGACGCATTCCCTTTTCGGTTGTTTCAACCGCCTTGTGGATCAGTATTCCAGAGTTCTGCATCCACAAAAGGAGATGATGGAGCAGCTGAAAGAGCGTACTAAGGAAGGTGCACGCTGGAAAGACCTCGAGATCGCTCGGAAACGTGCTCGTTGGGAGCAAGTAAAGCGCGAGAGGCAGAAGAAGAGGGAAGACGACAAAGAAGCCGAACGAAGTGCGTACCATGATTTGAGCCCCTCCTAGACGGCACTGACCCTGCGATAGTCGCCTTTGCTGAGATTGATTGGCATGACTATGCTGTTGTGCAGACAATCGAGTTTACTGTTGCTGACGCGGCATCCGAGTTGCCGCCACCTATGAGCGTGCAGGAAGTGGAAAACATGACTCTAGCGCAGAAGCGCATGGCTGCTATGATCATGGAGACTACCGCGGAAGAAATCGAGGCACAGCGTGCTCGTCAGGCGGAGGCAGAGGCGGCGGCGGCAGCAGCCGTCGGTGGTGCTGGACTTGCTGCAAATGGTGGCGAAGATGAAGAGATGATGGAGGAGAGTGATGACGAGGACAAGGAGGTGCAGGAGAGGAAGAAACGCGAAGAGGAAGAACGCCAGAGGGAGCTGGAGCGCGCTCGTGCTATACAAGCAAGCGCAGAGGCTGGTGGTCCCATGAAGATTAGGACGGACTATGTGCCCAAGCGTGAGTTTGGTGTTCTTCTCAGTGGTGCGAATCACTGACCTCGCTCTTCAGTGGGTAAACGTGGCAACGAGAAGATGACCACTTGTACGATTTGCGGACAACAAGTTGCCGTCGACGAACTGCAAGAGCACATGCGTATCGAGTTGCTCGATCCTCGCTGGAAGTCCCAGCGTGATGTTCTCGAGGCCCGCAAGGCGCAGGCATCAGAGCTTCAGCGCGGTGCCAATGTCGTCTCTTCACTCAAGAACCTCGCACGTACGCGTGTTGACATCTTCGGTGCAGAGGAAGACGAAGCGCGCCGGAAGCAGGAAGAAGAGGAGGAGCGGCTCAAGCGGAGGGAGAGGGAAAAGGTTATTTGGGATGGTCACACCGCAACGAAAGCGACAACAATGGACAAGTTCTCGACCAACGTCAACTTCGACGAGCAGATTGCTGCTATCCACAGAGCCAAGGGTCTCGGACCGTAAGTATTCACTATTTTGTGATCTGCGAGTCAAATGGTTGACCACATCCTGATTTGTAGACAAGATGCGAATGCGATCGGTCCGGGTATCGGGACGGCACCCGCACCTGCACCTCTTACCTCTCTACCACCAGCGCCTTCGTCCTTGCCAGCTACACCAGCTTCCGGAGGCGCCGCATTCAACGCCGCTACCGTGTCTTCTGGGCCTCAGCCGGCATCTCTGTATCCGCAGCCGTCACCGGTCATGCTTCCCCCTTTGCACTACCAGGGTATGGACGCTGCACAGCCATTCGGCTACCAGCCACCACCCGTCGGTGCGCCTATGATGCCCGGCAGACCTCCTATGGGTATGCCAATGCAAACCGGTATGGTGCGTAACGCTGATCAGATGGAGGGCGCGGGAGAAGAAGCTCCACCAACGAAGAGACAGAAGATTGCCAAGCTGCCTGGTGGTACATACTACCCTGAGGCTGATTGGATCAATATGCATCCTGTAAGTGTTTCCTTCTTTTTTCTGAACTGTTCGTTGGCTGAGACAACAATAGCATCCCGTCGACCTGATGATCCAGCTTCCAAATGATCCTTTGAAGCCAGAGTGGAAGCTTGACGGGACCGCGGTCACACTCAAAGATCTCCCTCTCAACCTGCTCGTGTCAAGTTTACGAGACCGCATACTGCAGCAGACAGGCAGCACGATTCCAGCGTCCAAGATCCGGGTGTCGTACGCGGGCAAGATGCTCACTAACGCGAACACGATTGCGAGCTACAACCTCGAGCACGAGGACACGCTCGTCCTCAGCGTGCGCGACCCCAAAAAGAAGTAGTATATTGGGCGCTTTACTGTCTCGCGTGTATAATGATGTTCGAGTGTTATGCTTCTTCATCTTGCTGATTTTCCCAGATCTGTTGCTAGATAGTCGGTCATCACGCGAGTTGTTTGACAGCTGAGAGAAAGAGAAGAATGCATTCCGAAAGATTTACGGACAACGAAACTGTGAAGCGCGATTACGATATTGAGCGTCCAGGAGAGAAACGTTGTCTAAGAAGTACAAACGTATACGACAGAAACAGATCTTAGAACTACATCCTACACTGTACAGATCCATCCGAAATAAACTTGCTGAATGGTCTGTATAGAACAAGACCAGGGCCCACCAAGAAGTGAGAGAAAGTAACGTGAGTGAACGATGCGATGATTAGAGGATGCGGCGGCAGACAAGGGCGAAAGCGAGCACGAGCAACACACAGATTGCGGTGTCGAGCAGAATCGGCGGGCGTGGCGTGTTGCGGCGCGTCAGCATGGGTATATAATCCGACAGTGGCGTCTGGGGGCGGGAGCCCTCGGCAGGCGTCACTGCTGCAGGAGGCGCCAGCGAGGAAGCGGCTGGCCGTCTTTCACGCAGCTCGTCCGCAGGGACTCGGGGCGCCGCCGGTGGCAAGGGGGTCGATGGCTGGATTGGGCTGGCGGGTATGATGATGGACTTGGCGTCGATGGGCCGCACTGGTTTCGGAGCAATCAGTGGAGGGGAGCTCACAACAGCGACAGGCTCCGGCAGAGGCGCGGGGTCGGTGAGCGTCGTTGCTGTTGCGGCGTCCAGGACATTCAATGTGCGCTCAGCGGTGAGGCCAGGCGATGCCGGCCGTTCGGGTATACATTCGGAAGCGGGTATATTATCGGACTTATTTGACGTGAAGGCGGAAGGTGATGTGGAAGGTTGAGTTTCGTCCGCCGGAGAATCTGGGAGACCTTCAAGATTCGATTTTTGACACGTTGGGCAGTTCCATTCTCGAGACCTGGAAAATAGCGCGTGTGAGAGATAAAACGAGATGTGATGGATGTAGGCGTACAATGCAGCAAGCCGCTTGCGCTCTGCAGGTGGGTATTCCAGAGCGCCAACACCGACGGCAGCGGTGCCTTTCAGCGGGAAGAAGCCTTGGAGCCCGACGATGGCTGGGTGACGGATATGAGTTCGCAGCGGAATGTAAAACGTTTAGCTGTTATGTACCTGTGCGCACACCCCATGCCGGCTGCCAGAGCTCCTCGTGGTCTTCTCAGAGTCAGCTTCTGGTTCGGTCAGACGGCACACATAGACTTACAGTTCGTGAAACTTATACAGATCTGTAGCAGAACTGAGTTAGACATTCGAGGGGTCGGAGCAACAACTACCTACCTTGGTATTCAGCTCAAAGCGTCCATTAGGGGTGAGCATCATGATAGATGGCGGGCGGAAGGGGTATTCTGAAGGTAGTAAGATCCGAAAGTGGTACAGCCCACCCTCGAACTCGGTGCCCGGTGTGCCTCTTATAGTACAATGCCATTCCTAAGTGGAAAGGGACCATTGGTTTTGTTCTGTAAGATGCCGGCGGGATCCACTCACAAAGATATCGTCCTGGATCTCGCGCTTTAGACTCAGAAATGACGATCAAAAGTATCGGCGTACCTCCAGAGGCCCCGCAGTATAATCTGTGCTTGGGTCGTTGGCAAGTTCACGAGCTTCCTGCATAATCCGCTTGACAGCTTTCATCCGTCGTTAGCGTGTTGCAAAGGATGCAGGGTAAGGAATCTTGCTTACCGGAGCTGTTCATGTTGTATCCTGAGCGGTGGGCCATGTTCGGCGAGATGTAGAGGGAGCAGCTGTCAACTAGAGAATGTGGTGGTTAGTGCTTGAGATGAGATGGGTAACTGAGTGGTGGCTACTGGCCAGAGTCGCAGGTCACTGCCTCCGTGCTGCCTCCGCCGCGACGTGGAGGAAGGCGCCTCACGTGACATCTACGGGGTCTCGGCTGCGGGCTGTAACAGAGCTTGAGCCTGAGCTTGTCTCTCTCCCATCCCACACGACAGCGGTCTCGGTCCTCTCGATATCTAACAGAACAGGCCTGCGCAGAGACTGCGGGGTTAGCGTTCACTGCCATGCATATCGAAAGGATCAGGGTCCGGCCTCGGAAAAGTACGTCTCGCTCCATGTTCATTTTACGAACAAGCTGTCCTGACCTACGTTCCTTGCCGCTCGTAAGACCCGCCGGCAAATATATGTGCTGCGCAACTGACATCTATGCTGAATTGCTGGATGGCTTCCGGAGATATCATGTCCGCAAGCCAGTGCAGGACTGCGGCTGACGACCTGTTCCGCTGTATGGCGACTACTGTAAGCTTCTTTCTGGTCCATGCTTGCCGCAGATCCCATTTACATTGCCTCGCAGCCCTTCAAAGGCAGACCACACCAGCCGACCATCAATTACCATCTTGCTCGTCTTAACAAGAAAATTCAAAAATAGATGTCTGCTTCACTTGCATGTCATCGTCCCCATACTTCGACAGCCATGTCAAACGATTACTACCGTTATATGTAGGCCCTTCAGCTTGGCAAGATGCGAACTCGCAAAGGCAGGCCCGCTGAGAACTTCAACGCCCTTCTTTCGGCCATGCTCGACATATCTCTGACGGCCCATATGTGAAAGTCTCCAAGAATGCCGTGATGAGGGCAGCCAGCTCCTAGGCGGTGCACTACCTCCAGAGATCCTTGTAGATACTATGCTCTGAGTAGATAGTTGCCCTGAGGAGGTTCAATGAAGCAGATGCATTTCCAAGAGTTCGGGTTAGAGTTAGAGGCAGCCTGTCGGCAGACAGAGCACTCCTTTTGTGCGTACCCTCCGCGTTACTCCGCGCGTGATACACGACCAGATGACTCTGGGTATGTGCAGAATTCGGTGCCGTGAGTGCTGCTACCAGTGTCTGAAAGCGGCAAGCTGGGCTGCGCTGTTGTGGTTTGTTGACTCACCACGCGCTGGTCGCGCAACGCCTTGCCTGCGCACTTGCTCATCGCTCTATAAGCTCCTTCCTACTACACCACCACCACACACGCAAGCCTTACTTTACTCTTAGCTCTCACTTTCTTCACAACCCTACGTCTTTCTTGCTCCCACAACATAAGATGAGGTCCAAGTTCAAGGATGAGCACCCGTTCGGTACGTGGACGCGATCGTTGCGATTTCGCAATGCGCTAACCAGATTCTGGCATCTTCTTTACCTTCGCAACCTACCAGAGAAGCGCAAAGGAGAGGCTGAGCGCATTCGTCAGAAGTATCCAGATCGTATACCTGTGAGTGTCGTGCGTTCACCCCACATCCCCCACGTCCCAACCGCGTTCAGTCCCTATAACCCGATCCTAGACCCATAACCATCCAGAAACAAGTACTCATACTCGCCATCTACAATCCATAGGTTATCTGCGAGAAGGCAGACCGGACAGATATCCCTACTATCGACAAGAAGAAGTACCTTGTACCATCGGTACGAGTCTCGATGCTGCGCAGCGCTGGCGTCAATGCAACTGACTGGTTGACTCTGTTCCCCGAATAGGATCTGACGGTCGGCCAATTTGTGTATGTTATCAGAAAGCGGATCAAGCTTGCTCCCGAGAAGGCCATCTTTATTTTCGTCGATGAAGTGCTACCACCAACAGCACAACTCATGAGCGCCATCTACGAAGAGCACAAGTGCGTTCCTAGTCTATCATAAGGCTAATCACCCATATTAACCCCTCGTGGCATTAACAGAGACGAAGATGGCTTCTTGTACGTCACCTACTCCGGCGAGAACACATTCGGTTCCAATTCGCGGTGAATGGCATCTATGGACACTACACAAATCGCTCATATTCTTTTTTGTCGAATCCTCATTTTCATCATATCTCGCCTGCACCACTTTCCAGTTTCTTTCGCCACTGTAATTATCTCAAGTATCGTCCATTCCGCTCGCAGGGGTTGTGAAGCATGAGGATGCGGCGTGGCAGGAGTCTGCACCCCGCGCATTATTTCATCCTCTCCTCTCTTACCCCGCATGTCGCATACCCGATGTGCGCCCCTTGCCGATGCACGCCACTTCTGTTTACTTACTCCTCTTGCGATTGTGGAATCTTTGTATCTTATACTTCCTCTGACGCCTCACAGAATGCATGAATGATTTATGACACGGATTACCTCTTTCAAATACCTGTCTGCCATTTCTTCGGACGCTTATCGCAGGATTAATGATCTTAACTTCGCTGTTTCCATATTGCCTTTTGGTGGAAAGCTGATGAGGTGTATAGATTGGCGTCTACGAGAAGCAGTCCGGCTTCCGTGTAAGCCACGCATTCTAAAATGAAGTCGTGAGTTTACCAGCCTGTCAATTTCCATCTCATACATCTACATAACCGACCATAGACAATCTCGATATCTGCTTCGCCTGCATTCTCCCAAGACCGACTACGCCGCAAGCACACATTCAATCAAGGAGGAAGGCTTTTGTTATGGGCTTGTCTGGCAACGACAATGCCCACTTTGTGCAGCGCAACGTTGCAGGGCCGAAACAACATTGATCCGCCTCATTGAGCCGAACGGTCGCCTCGTGCTTGCGACTGCTGGCAGTGGCCTGGTGAGAGCAAGGTATATAGAGCACAGACCACCTTGTTGACACGCCACCTCTTTCAGGCCATCACTCTCACTCTTATAGCGCTGTCCTGGCTGGACTCAGGACTATCGATATCCTCCACGACGCTCGCTCGCTGGTCATTCGTTTACTGATTATCCTATCCGAGGGAGATGGACACTGTCGCGAAGGGGTTGCGCATTGCGGGAACCAGTACGTGTTCTCGAACCATGTGCGGGGACCGGTTGCTGATGATATGGCCTACCGCAGTCGTTCTCAGCATGACGGAAGTTATCCTCGTTGGGCTATTTATCACAGCGGTTTCACGAAATAGTGCACACTGTAAGGCTCGTTGATCTCATCACGTACTATACACGATGCTTATTGACTGATTCATCTAGTCATCGACGACGCTTGCCTTCTCTTCCATTGTTTTGCATTATTCACTATTCTATCCACGTAAGTTTGCCCCCCAGGTGAACATCCCGCGATGACAGCTTAGATTCACTCGTCTAGCATAATTTATTCCATGTTTAACGGTCACCGAAACCCCACCGACAAGTTCTATGTGCTCTCAACCTGCTTTCTTGTCGTGGCCACCAGCATCTCATTCTTGCTGGTCGTCATCGACACCGCGAAGACGACGCCAAACGACTTCGCCGGCCTGGGCCGGCCCGCGGCCGAAGCCGTCATCGCGCTCTCGTTCATGGTTGTGCTCCTCGCCATGCTCGCCCTCGGGATCACCATCTACGAGAAGATGCACGAGCTCCCTCTCGTCCCGTCGAAGCACGCCGAGGCCGGCACCGACGAGGCCAAGCACGCCCCCGACGGTGCGAACAGGGCGCGCGCGGCGCTTTCGGACATGCAGGCTGCTGCCGCCGGCTCCTCCGCTGGGCCGGACGGACACCGCCGGAGCGTGCACTTCGTGGTCAGCGACTTCAAGCACGTCGCGCATGTGGGCCCGGACACGCTCGAGCAGCCTCAGGCCATTGAGCCGCTCGACCTCGAGACGATGGAGGACGTCCCGCTCACCCCCGTGGACCCGAGCCCTCGCTCCGAGGAGACAGTCAGGCTCACTGTCCCCGAGGAGGCTCACACATCTGCGACGGGCAAGCACCGTCAGATGTCATATGACTTGGGGTACTGGTCGGGCATCGGGCGGGCTGTGTAGGGCACGAGTTCTCTGTGAGAGATCTGCATGGCGAGTCCATGCACTCTGGCTTCCTAGGTATGTACCCCTCACTGCTGCGACATCACATCTTCAAACCCTGTGTTATTACTACCACACATCGTACAGTATGCTTGTAATTTTAAGCACATTAAGTGGCGTTGCATCATCGACGTCAACTCGGCCAGATCGGATATGGTTCAATGGTGTAGTGGTTATCACTCCTGTCTTACACACAGGCGGTCGTCGGTTCGATCCCGGCTTGAACCATTTTTTCTACGTTTTCGCGGATGACTTTGACTTAAAGTTTCACTTTCAACTTCGTTGGAGAAAATGTGGAGAATACTTGTTTTCAAGTTCGTAACTTGCCAGTTGAAAAGTGGTCTGAAGTGGAAGATCCGTGGCATCCGCTTTTGTTCATAGTATTGCAAGTAGCGACCTATTGTCTGCCAGGATATCAACGAGACACCAAACTCTCATAGGAGATTCATTGAGCTACCCCGCTTCAGCCTTCGAGACAAGCTCATGGTCAGCATTCAATTATTTACTTAAACTAGTGAGCTCGGCATACGAGAGCATATCATTACTTCTAAATAGCACAGTACGGTATCAAACGCGAGGACGCCTAGGCCAAGTGAGGTGAAGAAGATGGCGGAATGATGTACAGTGCGCTGAATAAAGGGAGTAAGAGGCGCGGGGTGAACGTAAAGTTAATTGTCAGCGGGACTTAACATGTTACAGGTCGGCGGTGCGACAGGGGTCGTCAATGTAAGGGATAATGGGGGTAGCGGACTAATGAAGAACGTCATTAGGATGGATGAGAAAAGGGAGATCGTAAGTCTGTGATGTCGTGTCCCAAGTCCAAACTACCATAAGATGGAGTAATCCGGAGGGCGGAGTCATAGATTACTACGACAGCAAATG